ACTAACTTTAAGCATAAGGAAAAACATCTTTTGACCTGGCGACCCCCGAATTCGTCCCAACGTTGGACCCAACTAGATCACATCGCTTTCAGCCACCGATGGAGGGGCTCGATATAAGACTGTCGCTCATTCTGGGGCACATGTTTAGATTCAGATCATGCTCTAGTGCGAGCACATATCTGTCTGCGACTTACTGGTCGTAGGAAAGACACTGCAGGGAAGCCTCTAAGGGTTCTACTTAATGATAGGCAAGCTAAGAATATATTTCAGGAACAACTAGGAAAACAGTTAGGCAGCCATGTAAGTTGTGTCCACCCCGAGGCAGCGTGGAATGACATCCGAAAAGCTGTGGAAACAGCAGTGATATCTGCTAGTAAGGTAAACCATAACGTTAGGGAGAAACAATGGATCTCGGCAGCATCTACCGCACTGATAGATGCTCGTAAACTCATCCCACCTGGCTCTGAGCATAACGAAGAGCGGAGTCAACTTAAGCGAAGGCTTATAAGAAGCCTACGTAATGATCGTGAACAGTGGTGGGTAGCGAAAGCAAGGGAGATGGAAAAGGCAGCGGCAATAGGTAACAGTAGGCAGCTATTCAGACTCGTTAAAGAAACCGGTATTAGGAACCCGAATATCAGTGAAACCATCTCAGATAAAGATGGGCATATTATTCATTCTCAATCCAGGAGATTGGATCGATGGGCAGAACACTTTAGGGATCAGTTCAACTGGCCTTCAGCCACACTTCAATTACCCACGATCCCCAGTCGTCCTGAATGGCAAATTGATGTAAGTCCTCCAACCCTCTGTGAGGTTGAAAAAGCTATAGGAAATCTGAAGCGAGGGAGAGCAGCAGGCCCTGACAGGTTGACCCCTGAGATTTTTAAGGATGGTGGTCCAGTACTAGCAGTGAGATTGACTGAGGTCTTAGGTAGAATCTGGGAACTGGACGTAATTCCATCTGACTGGTCCCAATCACTGATTGTGCCAGTCTATAAGAAAGGACAAAAGTCCTCCTGTGACAATCACAGAGGGATCAGTTTGACTAATATAGTGTCTAAAATATTAGCTTCAATAATACTAGGTCGCCTAACCAAAGCTCGTGAAGAGCAGACTAGAGAAAACCAAGCTGGTTTTCGACCTGGACGTGGTTGCATAGACCAGATATTCACCCTACGTCAGGTTCTAGAACATAGACACAAATTCAGACGTCCCACAATAGTAGTATTTCTTGACCTTAAGGCGGCATTTGACTCCGTTGATCGTGAGGTTCTATGGCAATGTTTGTCACTGAAAGGAGTACCAAAGAAGTACATTAACCTCATAAAGGCTCTCTACTCGAACACAACTGGTCGAGTTAGAGCCTATGGCGAACTGTCATCAGAACTGATTACCACAAGTGGCGTTCGTCAGGGCTGTCCACTCTCCCCATTCTTGTTTAACTTTGTAATTGGCATACTTTTAGAGATAGCACTTTCATCAGCTAAACCTCCAGGAGTTGAACTTTTACCAGGAGGCTCACTTGTTGACTTAGAATACGCCGACGACATAGTTTTACTCGGTGAAGACGCTGACAACATGCAGAGTCTTCTGACCACTATAAGCAACTATGCAGGCATGTTCGGGATGCGATTCTCTCCCTCGAAGTGCAAAATGCTACTTCAGGATTGGGTTGCAGCGACACCTGAACTAATGATAGGGAGTGAAGTAGTTGAGCGTGTAGACCGCTTCACTTATCTTGAGAGTCTCATCAGCCCTTGTGGTCTGGTATGTGACGAAATCTCAGCACGGATACAGAAGGCTCGTCTAGCTTTCGCCAACTTGCGTCATTTATGGCGTTGGCGTAGGCGAGATATCCGTCTAGCAACCAAAGGACGGGTTTACTGTGCAGCAGTTCGCTCCGTCCTACTTTATGGCAGTGAAACATGGCCAATAAGAGTAGAGGATATTCGTAAGCTACTAGTGTTCGATCATAGGTGTCTTCGACGCATTGCTCGTATATCCTGGGACCACCGGGTAAGTAATGCAGTTGTTAGGAAACGAGTACTAGGTAGGGATGGCAAATCGATTGATGAAGTAGTGAAACTTCATCAGTTGAGATGGCTGGAACATGTGTTACGTATGCCCGACCACCGACTGCCCCGACGTGCAATGTTTCATGGTGTAGGAGTAGGTTGGAAGAAAGCTAGGGGCGGCCAGACCAAAACGTGGCACAAATCAATGAAGTCACTGACAAGTGGACTGGGCCATGTTGGTAGGTGTAGACTACCTGGTTGGGATTCGCGAGATGACAGCAACCGATGGTTAGAGACCTTGAATGACATGGCTCAAAATCGTTTGCAATGGCGAAGATGCATCCACTCTTTGTGTTCTACCAAACTCTAATCTTCTGAATTCCTCATGTCTTTATGTTTTTCTCTTTCCAAATTTATTTCACTGTACTATACTCCTTCAATAATTTCTTCAAACCCTAATCTTTTGGATTTCTGATTATACTCCTACTACTTCTACCACTATGGGATTTGAATCGACAACTGCATCTCTGGGCTAATGTGGTATGGCAACTCGAACTGATGTACGTACGTACGAAGTTCTACGTTGTGACTGACTGACTGACTGACTGACTTTTCCACATAACATGGAAGGAAATAATCTTTTTAAGAGGAATCAACATGGTCTTGGGAAAGGTCTTTCATGTTTAAGCAGAAATGGATAGTGGCTAGCAGTGGAACCCAGGACGCGCGTTTCGTCTTATTTGGGACTCGTCAGTTGGATGTACTTGCATCTCAGAGTTGATGTTCACTCTGGGACTCGAACCCATTACCTTTCGCTTCAAACGCCATCGCGTTATCAACTCGGCCACTGAGTCCATCTCTGCTTACCATGCTTGTAAATTAAGGCTATAACGAGGCAATATGCACAGTATGCACATATGCCAATTAGAGACTGATCAGTTGTAGTCCTAACACATCGATGGGAAGATTCAAACAAACAATACTAAGTGAATTCATCTTTCATGTTTGACTAGTCTTCTCATTGCAAGATCGTACTTCAGAGAAAAATAATATCCTGGTAGATACAACTTTTGTAGATATTATTAAAGCCTCCAATGAATTCTCGCCTATATTTTAAATTGAACTGGGAAGTTTTGGAATCAGTTGTGGAGTTAGAAACTGGATGATTGGCTTTCTCAGTGACAGGGGAAAACTAGTGAGAGTAGATGGTGTCTTGTCATCATAGGGATCTTAACAGATATTGCTGGGCTCTTTTCTTACTTTACGTAAATGATCTGCCAAGTGACAATGGTATTCTCGAGGTTACGATGTTATTTTTCTCAATATAAGGAGATAGTAAAAATTAATATCAGAGGAAGACACTCTGCGTCACTGAAAAGGCTACATATGGATACGAAGTAAAAAGTTCAGTCCCTCGCGGCAAGTCACACATGAGTTATTCTAAGTAGGTTTTGAAATCTAACATCCTAACTGTGTGTGTACTTAATGCAATTATGTATGTATGTAAACACCACTTATTGTGACTTATTTGAGATGTACAGGTTAGGACATTCGGTTTTGAGCTACCTAACGTGAAGTGTATATGTATAGCTGTGGTTTATCGGTTAAGGTTTTTGAATTTCGGCCACTAAGTCTCAGTTTTGAACTTCTCTTCATTTACTTCGGTTCAGTCAACTTAATAGAACCTTTTTACGTATGACTCATACTCAAGCACTTAGTTAATGAGTTCATTTGCTTTCTTATTTGCGTTTGTGTTTCGTCATACTAGTGGAACAATAACAGGGTCAAGTTTTGTACTTGAGGAGATTTCAGCAAATGCGAGGACAAAAAGTAATCACACTACTATCGGTTAGAGGGAAAGTTTCCTGTTATGACTGGTGGTCGACTGTTATAGCTGCGTCGCCAGTTGCCATATCTGGTCGTCGCTAATTGTTATGTTGTAATCGCTTGTTACTTATACTTGTAAAACGACGAACCGCTGCAATTCCCGTGATGTGAAAGTAAGAACACTAGACTAGTACAAGTGATTTACTAACCACAAACACGACGACGACCGTAGTCAAAAGTACACTCATTTATATTGAAAAGAGCAAGAACAAAGATTCGAGCAGAATAGCATGGATTCATTTTGTTCCGTTGGTTTTCGTCAGCTGCTTACAACCTGTGATATATAAAATTATAATTACATGATGGGTTCAAATTACTTACATAGGCCACTGGTAAGTGGCCTATGCTCCTTGATGAGGGGTAAAAGTGTAAGTTTTATTTCTAATGGTGGAATTCGTAAGTCGTTTCAGCGTGCAGTTTTAAGAGATGGCTTTTGATAGTTTTATTTTTTCACTGGTAGTTAGTTGTATTGTGGAAATATGTAATTATATGGTGATGATTGAAGACACTTTGTCCTACTTCTTTTCTTGTACAGTACTTTACAATGTGACATGATATGCTCCTGATTTTATATTTTTTCAATCGTCATTTCTGTAATGCTAAAGTGTTATAAAATGCATGTTCATGGTAACTCATTCGCCTCAATGTATTAACAAAGACAGGTTATCACTCATACTGTTACCGACATCCTAATGTGACATACTATCTTTCAGTCTATTTAGTGAATGTAGAAATTACAAGATAACTCATTGTGTGAAGAATTATAGCCATAATCATCACTTCATCTTTTTCTTAATGCCCGAAACCTTTAGACTTCAGTGGCAAATTATCAGTGGTTAGTGCAAGTGTTGCCATTTATTTTCAACGGTTGTTTAGTGATAGTATATTAGTGAATTTAAGTGTAGTTTAATAAATTTGATTGTTGGCAAATGCATTTTTGACAGTTCTGTTAGCAATAGAAAACTATAATTGTTCTATTTACACCCCACCTCCTTCTCCGGCGGTAAGGTCCCAACAAGTACGGAGCTAACACAAAAATTACCCACAAAAAGGTCGTGTGTGACCGACCTCAAGTAGTTGTCCCTTCGGCACTGCGGTCACGCTCTCAGGTCATTAAGACCACTTCTAACCCAATTTCCTTTTCAGGTATCACTAGAAGAACCCTTCCACGGTGTAGGCAACCGGGAAGTGATAACTGCCCTCATACCTCTAACAACACTCAAGACCACTGACTGACTGAATTATCTAACATAATTAATTTCTTTTGGTACGCATGTATATGATCTCAATAATTAGGAGTACTTTGTTGTATAGTTCATTCAAAGAAGAAGAGGATATTTCTGTTTATTTCAACATTTTATTATTCGGATAAACAGTAAAAAAAGAATGTTCTGGATCATTGTCTCAATATATTTCCTTGAAGTGGTTTTAATAAAGAATAATTTGGTGGGAAACTCAATTGTGCATAACCTAGTCGATGTAATAATTTACTTTCTAAATGTATCTTTTCAATAAATTCTCTTGGTAGAATTGATTTATTATCTGCCCATGATAATAGGGAATTCCGATGGATTTTATTGATCACTTGTTTTGAACTTGCTTCGTATCTTTTTGTTGTTGTTGTTAAGGAAAAAGAAAAAGATAAGAATGCAAACGACTGTAAGTTAAGTAAACATTTGTGGAAAATGAAAAAAAATCAATGGTATTTTAGTAACTATCATAAATGTTTAAGTATAAGGAAGTTCCCGTTATGATTCAGTGTTAGTTTGATAATCGTTGCCAAGAAAAAAACAAACGAAAAAGCATGAAAGTATTGTGTTTTTAATAATTACTTACTTACGCCTGTTGCCCCTCGTGGTGGAGCATAAGCCGCCCACCAGCTTTCTACATCCAACCCTGTCTTGGGCAATCCTTTCCAGTTAACATTGATCCTTTTCATGTCGGCTTCTATTTCCCGGCGTAGTGTGTTCTTTGGCCTTCCTCTTTTCCGCTTCCCTTCCGGATTCCCAGTTACGGCTTGCCTCGTGATGCAGTTTAATGATTTCTTCAATGTATTTCCTATCCACTTCCAACGTCTTTTCCTAATTTCCTCTTCAAATGGAAGCTGGTATGTCGTCTCCCATAAAACGCTGTTACTGATAGTATCCGGCCAGTGAATGTTGGGTATTTTGCGTAGACAACTGTTTATAAATACTTGTACCTTCCTGATGCTGGCCGTATTAGTTCTCCACGTTTCAGCTCCATACAGTAGGACTGTCTTGACGTTCGTATTAAAGATTCTGACCTTGAAATTGGTTGAGAGTTGTTTTGAGTTCCATATGTTCTTCAATTGTAGAAATGCTGCCCTTGCTTTGCCAGTCCTCGCCTTTACACCTGCATCCAATCCTCCTTGTTTATCGACGATGCTTCTCAGGCACGTGAATGTTTCCACCTCTTCCAGAGTTTCTCCATTTTTAATAATTACTATCTATCTAAAGGTGGAGTGATTTATCTTGTCAAAAATCGAGCCAGTAAACTTAATATCCTTTAACCTTCGCAAAATATCTTACAAATTCATACTACCTCATTGAAAGCTATATAGAATTATAACTGATAGAAATGTATATATTTCTGAGGCTAATCATAGAGGAACTCAAGTTTTAGGTATTTCTGATACACAAAACTGATTATCCAAACTTTAACTTGTAGGAAGTACAATGTAAACCTGGGGATTTACTTGGTATTTTCTTTTTCAGAATATTACTAAAGGCATTAGAAAAATGTGTCTTAAGCTCAGAATTTCTAGATTCTTAATTGTTTGGTGTATTAATGTTAATAACTTGTCGGTTTCAGACATATTGGGAGTAAAATATTTGTTACCATTGGCGTTGGATGATTGTCTTGCTATATCTTGAATTGGTTAGAATTGGAAGTGAGCACTACTAGATACCAACCAAATGGTTCTGAGAACTAATCGTTTGTTGTCAAATCTAAAGGTTTTAGGTTCGATTCTTGTCCGGAGGATAGTCATAGTAGATTAGTGCTGAAGAATTTCATATTAGAACGGAACTAATTTCCAGTACTCTCTAGTTTCCAATGGTACCCACCCAACTAAGACCAATTCATGACGAATATTAACAAAGATAAAATTTCATATGATTTTTCTCGCTGATAAAATTGAATGAAGTAAGAACAATCAACGTAGCAGAGTAAGGTAAATTCATATATTTCATGGATTCTCGTCGACTGCTTACAATCTAGAAACAATTGTCTATTATCAGTTTACACATCTTATATTACTGATCATTCTACACATAAGATAACAATTATGTTGCTATTTGTTCACTGAAAGTGAAATAATGAAGGAGGGAAAGTAATTGGTGTCATGTTTGTCTAGCCCTTAATGATGATTGGGTCCTATTTATCAAGTCGTAGTGTAGAAAACTTGGTTAATTGAATCAACATTGGGGTATATTTTTCCTTGATGGTTGGCAATTGACAACCAATTACGTATGATCTGGGTTTCATGTTGGTTGGTGGTCATCTATAAATCATATATGCAGCCTTGGAGTAACTGATATCCTCATGATATATTAACAATCGAATCAACTTAGAATCATAGTCAGTGGCATATATTTTATGATGTTGTCATTAGTTTAGGATAATGTTCGTTAGATTCATCTCTTTTTGGCAAAAATTGCAAACTTCTAATATTGACTTAATACTACCATAATTAGCTTGGCTATAAGTAGTTCTAATGTAGAGCTTTTGAATAGATTATCCAGTTAACGGAAACTCGTATCATTAAAAAACACTTGATCAAACTAGGAATAGCTGCTGATAAAAGAGTTATTCTAATAGATCATTTAAACATTTACTAAATTCCGCTTTTACTTCGAGAACTGTAAGAAATTTTGCTGCTGAAAAGAATATTTTAAATTTTCATTAGAGGTAGCTTGCGTTAGTAATCCGTTGATGTAAGATAGGTTTAGCATATCATGGAACAATTATAGTTGAATGATAATTGAAAACCACTGATTACTGGACAGTTACCTCGTTCTAATATAGTTCTCTTCAACATGGTGGTCTACACCTCCATTGGGGACTGGATCTGCCAAAACTTCAGAAAACCGAGTTGAGACTCACTAGTGAAGACTTCTAACTTCAGCTTGACTGACTGGTGGAATTCAACTATATCGGACGTGAGACAGATCTCATCAGTGACATACCAGAAGTGAAAAATTATAGCCCATTACTGAACTGTAACCTATGAGTGCCGTGGTACTCCCGAGAGCGTAGATAGTCAACTCTCCCTCTCGAAATGCTCTCACATGGCCACGTGCATACAATCACTTCCAGGAAAGTCCTACTCACTGCCTTGTCGTGGCATCACTGTTGTTTGCGGAATTGAGAGGACGAAAAGTGAATGTTCTGCGCTGTAACCGGGTTGGTGGACACGGAGGGTCCACCTAGGGGAGTTGGAAAACCCTGATTCCAAACCAACGGTGCACATGGGCTCCATGATCCTAAAGGAACAAATGACATATGAACGTATTGTTGGTCATCGGCTATCATGGGACTGCATCTCCTTACGATGCTCCACTGCCTTGTGGATTAGACTTTTGGGTCAAAGGCTCCGGGTATGCCCTCCCAAGAAAACCACTTGTTACGGTTTGAGCACCTGGGCAGTATTACAGCCCTCACACAAATCGAATGATTTATGTGATTCATATCTGTTTGGTGTCCCCTTGTACCAATACTTATGTGTTGAGTTAGAATGAGATTAAAGCATTGTATTAGCCAAGATTTATAACATCAGACGTTATGTCGACGAATTTAGTTGAAGCAGTGTTGCGTAGTGTAGAACACTTGGAAGAAATAAAGTCAGTATACCATCATAGTAACAGATGAATTGTTTTGAACATAGTTATAAAACCTAGTTGTGGCTAATATTGTTTGTTTTGTGAAAAAAGAAACTATTCACTTACGGACTTAGGCTAGAAATCTTGTGAATAACAGATTCGTGTTTTAGAATTATCGGGTCCCAAGGTATATCAAGGAATTCTAGACAGGCATACAAAAGAGAGTAAAAATGGAATAATGGATTTAAAAGAAGCTTGTATAAAGAGAATCTATTATTTAAGTAGTAAACCAAATCAGTAGACAGTAATATTAATACTGTGTTGATCAGTGGAACGGATTATATTAATTATCTAACTAGTGACCGTGTCATTGTCCTGGCTTTCTATCGTCCCATAGAGAGCATCAGCTTCCTTAAGATCCCTGGTACGCCTTTCCGATGAGCATCAACTCACACGAAACTTCGTCTCAGGGTTTCTTGCTGACTACTTCCAACCATCTAACACCCCAACGTAGTACACGTAATACCATGTCACTTATACTGGTGAACATATTGCAACTTGATCAGCACTAAATGACTAGACAAACATGAAATTGGTCACTGATGGATCAATTGTAAGCCTCTTAGTTCTAAAGCAATTTATTTATCGCCCGAATAACTTAGTGGCAACATTTCAAATTGTGAAGTTCGGTTACGCTGTTCAAATCCTATAAAGAGTATCAGTTGAATCAAGATTACAGGTATATTTTGTTACTGAGTACCAGCAAGCATGAACCTTAGGTGAATGGTTTCATTTCAGCTTCACTCAGTCATCTAACACCAAGAGAACTATCAAATACAAATATCAATCCAATTTTAATTTAACTTTAGTTACTCAGGATTGCATTTGATTATCATTGAAATAAACAGTACATAGTAAGCAAAGATGGATAGTGGCTGGCAGTGGACTATAGGACGCGCGTTTCGTCCTATTTGGGACTCGTCAGCTGGATGTACCTAAATCTCAGAGTTGATGTTCACTCTGGGACTCGAACCCATTATCTTTCGCTTCAAACGTCATCGCGTTATCCACTCGATCACTGAATCCTGATAGCCACAATACTAAGTGAATTTAGTACATAGTAAGTTTAAGTAATTGTAATCCATATGGAGCTGAACAGCATTGTTTTTAAAACTATTGTATCGAATCTTTTAAAAAAAAACCTGTAAAATTCAAGGAATATCAAAGAAATGTTTTAACCTAGTTTAAAGCTTCACAATAGTGAGTGTCCACGGTCTCTATATCTTATAAAAATTTATAACTTTAGGTCTTACATTAAACATGAAATCATTATATTACTGAATTGAAATTCAGTAGTAGTTACATGTCCAACTTAAATTAATTTCTGAAGTGATTTTCTTGAACTCTATCAATGTTACTTTCTAAAAAGAACTTTAAGAAACACATATTTAGGCTAACTACATACTTACTTAAGGAGGAGGAGGGTTGGGAATGGGGTTAGCGACCCCATCTTGTAGAAAAACTAACTCGCTAAAAAACGGCTAACCAGAGAAAATAATTCAAGCTAACTACATGTGTGTATATTATGATTTTTTAAAATTAAAGTTCATCTAATTATAATTAATTTTCATTACAGTTTAATATTATTTACTTATAAATCAATGTTTATTAATTTTATCGTTAAGTTCATGAATCAGTTGAAGCTAGACCACCATGGAAAACTTGGAAGAACTGGATAGCTGTTTCGTCCTATTATGGGACTCCTCAGCAGTGCTCATTCACGATCCCATCTCACGAGATTCGAACCCAAGACTTAGTAGTCTCGCACGTGAGCGCTTAACCTCTAGACCACTGGGTCTGCCGTCATCCAACAGTGTTAATGTCTAATTTCAACTAATCCACTAAATTCATTTACTATCGTTTTTGGTTGTTGTTGTTTTTTTTTCTTTTGTTTTTTTCAAATTATAGTTATTCACTGTTCGAAGTATCAATTTGCCGCAGTTATAATGTACATGTACATTAGAAAGGCTCAGGACAGAGTTGGATGGAGAATGCTGGTGAGCGGCCTATGCTCCTCCACAAGGGGTAACAGGCGTAAGTAAGTAAGTAAGTACATTAGAGGATTCTAAGTAAAGATAGATAGTGGCTAACAGTGGAATCAAGGATGCGCGTTTCCTCCTATTTGGAACTCGTCAGCCGAATATACTTGCATCTCTGTTATGTCTGAAACGGTTTCGAACTTACTTAATCAGTGAACGGAACAAAGATTTGTGACCAGAGACCAATTAGCTAGCTATTCTGACACATCTCAGACCCAGCTAACTGGAGTGAGAATTTCAAGTTGGAAGTGGGGAAGATATATTCCGTAAGCAGTTAGAAGCAGAAGCAATCACAATAGGAAGAAATCGAACGTATATATACAGCATAAAATTATCCTTGAGAAGCATTACAAAATAGCACACTAAAAGATACAACAGACCAATAGCGTTTAAGATATTTTCAAGTGGGAAATACGACTCGAAGATGAAAGGAGCGCTTTTTGCGCGAAAACACAGAAATCCAAATTTTCAAAGTAAAATTACCAAAATAAGTCATTTACCAAGTCAGTTCTGGGGATTTAACATCCCCAACAATCTCAGAGTTGATGTTCACTCTGGGATTCGAAATCAGTATTGTTCGCTTCAAACATCATCACGTTATCCACTTAGCTACTGATTCCTGATAGCTATCTGCTTGTCAAATAGGGTGAAGTTTAAATTCCACTGCTAGCCCACTATCTATCTTTGCTCAGAATGCTTGTGAATTAAGGTAATGTATAGGCAATACGGATCCGATGGCCAGACACTATCAGCAACAAGTTACTGTGGGAGACAACAAACCATATTCCAGCGGAGGAAGAAATCAGGAAGAAGCACTGGAAGTGGATGGGACACAGATTGAGGAAATCACCCAACTCTGTCACAAGACAAACCCTCACATGGAATCCTGAAGGGCAAAGGGGAAGAGGAAGACCAAAACACACATTACGCAGAGAAATAGAGACCGACATGAGAAGAATGAACAAAAACAGAATAGAACTAGAAAAGAAGGCTCAGGACAGAGTGGGTTGGAGAAAGCTGTTCGGTGGCCTATGCTCCATTGGGAGTAAATATTCATAATAGCGGCTTCTTTGTTTGGCTGTCTAGTTGTTTTTAGAGGACAGAATATCCAATACATATGTTAATCAAAGGGGATTTTGTGGAGAATTTAGTATTTTCATAGTTGGTCCACCAGGGTGTATTGTACCTGAGTGGTTGCGCCACAGGATTGAGCTGAGCTGTTCGGATTGTAGCGTTGAAGCCTTTATAGTGTCTGGTTCTCCTATAGGACAGGATTGAGCTGTACTGCTTGGGCTAAGCCTGAGCAGTGTCTGGCTCTCCTGTTAAACGGGATTGAGCTGTACTGTTTGGGTTGCCGCGTGAAAGTCTGGATGGTGTCTGGTTCACCTGAAAACCAGTGCAAGATTACTATGACCCATAAGGGTATATTATATAACATATGTTAATGTTTATAAATTAAAAAAAAGGAGGACATACTGAAAATTTTTTTAGTTTCTTCCAACGTATTCAATATTAAATCTTCATAACGTATAGTTAAACAACGTGATGAACCAATTTGTATACAATCTTCTAACATTTTTTTTGTTATACCTTCCCAATATTGAAATGCCAAATATGGTTTATCCGAAACATAGAGGGGATTAACTGCACGCCTAGTAATAATTGGTTATTATTATTGAAACGAACGTCATAAACAAAAGAGGCAAATACACAGATACATATATATGAATAAAAATAATATTATGAATAAGTTATTAGTAAGACAAATTATATTGTTTAATAATAATAGTGTTCCTCAGGTAAATCATGTGCTTTGCACCCTCCAAGTGCAAAGTATTCCTACAAGACTGGCAGGATTCTAATCCTGTACTCACCCTGGGTGGTGAGCAGATTGAAGTAGTTGAGAAATTCGTGTATCTAAGTAGCTACATAAGTGCTGGTGGTGGCGTGAGTTATGAGATCGATGCACGTATAATGAAAGCCAGAGCGGCTTATGCTAATCTGGGCCATCTTTGGCGCCTTGGTGATGTTAGTCTGGCTGTAAAAGGTCGGATCTACAACGCGTCGGTGAGAGCTGTTTTGCTCTATGCTTGTGAAGTAGTAAACAATCCGGTAAAGCATTTTTATAAACTAAATTACAATAAAAATAAATATTAACAAGTGTCAACAAAATCAAGCTAAACATGAACAAAAAAAGAGATGATTTAATTTTTAATTTTCTACCCTATTAATCTATAACGTAATGATACCGCCAATTAGAGAACAGTGAATTATCGACACATAAACCCGTACGAACAGTCTACAGTCCTTATAGGTCGTTCTTCTTTCCTAGCCCTGAATGTTGAACCCAGAACACAAATCTCAACCTCTGTGATATGAATCCTATATTTCAAACATATTGGGTTTATAATACAGAAACCAAATAGACCTCATCACACCATAAAATAGAAAATAACATTTGTACAAGATCTAGCCAAAAGTGATTGTGTATGTGGGAGACTGTAATTAATAAACTGGGGATAACTCAAGAATGGTAAATCCTATAATAATAGTCTATGGATCAAAATATAGCTTATAATAAGAGGGATACGAATATGAATAGTTTAGTTACTTAGCTATTATACAATAAAAATATATGTATCGTATTTGTTATATCCCGTGGAGAATTATGAATGGTAACTTTGAGAACTACTTATGGACCAACATGATATGTATATTTCTTAATGTATAATTGCTTAGTAACTAAACTAATCGTATTCGTGTCCCTCCTACCATAAGCTTTATTTTGACCCATAAACTATTACTGTACGATTTACCATTGTTGAGTTATCCCTAGTCTATTAATTACTGCTCCCCCTATTCACAACCACATTTGACCAAATCTTTTACAAATGTTATTTTCTATTTTATGGTACGATATGGCCACTTTGTTTGGTATATAAACCCAGTATGTTTGTGAATAATAATTCATGTTACAGAGGTTGTTATTGGTGTTTTGGACTTAACTGGCTAGGCTTGGCAGATAGCAGGGCCGATACGCACTCTAGACTGCTCATATCGTTTTCGTGTACCACTGTCCCAATCGATAATTCACCTGCTCTCTGATTGGCGGTCTTATCACTCATAGATAGTTCCTAAGAGTTACCATCGATAATTCTCGTCGGAATATAACAGTTATAAACTCATTATTCAATAATGATATATATTCAATTGACTTACTTAATTGAAGAAGCAATGACAGCTCGACCATCACGTACCATATGTATAAATTTTGCATTAACAAAAATTTCGCTTAAATAATTTAAATAATAAAATGTAAATGGTTGTTTATGACATAAACGTTCAGCGGATTGACCCATATTTATTATAATTTCACTAAAATATGCAGCTATAGCACGATTGAATACATTTGGATATATTCCAGCTGCATTAAGTTGTTTTGGATTATGTTCATACATTTTTTTAAAACGTAATAATAATGTTGTAATGATTGGTTCTGGACCACATCTTATAGATGGATGAACATCAAGAAGAATACGCATTAGACCAGTTCCTTTAAAATAATGAGTTTATATGGAAGAAAAAAGAAGTGTAATCAATTATTACTATTATTATTACAATATAGAATTCTCAGTACAATGTATTTTCATAGTTGAAATCATGAGTCAATTGAATCTAGACTACCATGGAAAACCTGGAAGCAATGGACATCCGTTTCGTCGTATTATGGGACTCCTCATCAGTGCACATCCACGATCTAGCACTCGTGAGATTCCAACCCAGGATCTATCAGTCTCGCACCAGAGCACTTAACCTCTAGACCACTGAATAGGCATCTAACGGTGTCAATGTGTTTTAACAAGTTTCTATTTCTTACTTCTTGATCGATCCTGACGATAAATATTGAGCGATCGTCAGTTAGAAGTTAGCAGTCGTTCAGTCAATCGACATTTAATTAATATACATTCTTTTCACTGCATATTGCCAGCAACCATGATATCTCTGATTGGGTCTTTGTGACTTGTACAACGAAAATTTGTACACTTTTCAGAAACGTACCTGAATAGGTTATGCGATTAGTAGCCATAATAATGTATTAAAACAAACAAGGAAATAGATGAAATATCTAGATGACAGGAACAGGTAACCCGGATGTTTAAGCAAGATAAAATAGTTTATAATAACTAAGGAAACTACTTTTTGCTTATTGTCAACCTTGAGGTATATATATATATATATATATATATATATATATATATATATATATATATATAATTAGTCCATTAATAGTTCTCGGAAGTTACCCGTAATTAAATCCTCACTGGGATATAACACAATGTTTGTTTTCATAGTTGAAAGAGTGAGTCAATTGAAGCTAGACCACAAAGAAAAATCTGGAAGTACTGGACGACCTCGCGAGGTAGGTCCTGGATTCGAATCTTGTGAGACGAGATCGTGAATGCACACTGCTAAGGAGTCCCATCATAGGACGAAACCACCGTCTAGTGCTTCCAGGTTTTCTTTGATAATCTAGCTTCAATTGATTCACGCTTTCAACTATGAAAATACTGAAATCTTCACAAAACCTTTTCTGATTACAATGTTTGTTTGTTTGTTTTTTTAGTTGATCAATCGATATTTTGTTTAAATGTATCAATTTTATGTTTAATAAACTTTCCATTTTTAAATTATTTTTCTTTTTTGGAGTAAAATTTCATTGTATCTTAGTAACAATAGTGTAGATCACGAGGAATAAATTTTTAAATATGCACCCCTTTCAATTTGTCAATTTGATATTGTCAAAAATGACATAAATTATGACAAATTTGACTGATTTGTTTAAATATTCAATATATTTTAATGAAAGGATATTTAAAATTTAACTTCAGTAGTATAGATATGAAAAGTAAATTTGAGAACTACTTATTGGATAAATCTATCTTTAAAATAATCTTCTTTGAATATATAATAAATTCATTGTGTTATAATGTGTGTGTATGTATATGCCCTGTTTGATATATGAACGTGTTGATCCCTGTTAATCAGAGAGGAGCGAATTATCGATCAGAGTTATGATACACAAAAGCCGTATGAACAGTCTTGAGTACATATCAGTCCTGCTATCTGCCTTAACCAGTCAGTTAAGTTCAAAACACCAATAACAGTTCTCTGAGGTATGAATCATTATATTTCAAACATATTGGGTTTATATACCAATCAAACAGACCACATAGTGTGTTGTGATCTACTTATATCCATATAAGTAGTATATGGTGTTGGTCAGACAGAGAATGTATTTTCGCAGAAGATCGATGAGGAAAGAACTGAAACGAAGCGCAATCGGTAGGAAAATGCACGAACAATGGAATTAGAGAAGAAACAGTGAAGATCGAGACTATTGGTTGTTAATTTGCAAATTGACTGTACATTGTATGGTTTTCAGAATTTACTGAGATAGTCTGTAAGCTTTGCTTAAATACATTCGATTGTCCCCAACTAGTGTTCTGTTCACTACAATAGTACCATAAAATTGAAAATCACATTTGTACAATATTTAGCCAAATGTGGCTGTGAATGTGCGAGGCAGTAATCAATAAACTGGGGATAACTCAACAATGGTAAATCGTATAATAATAGTCTATAGATCAATATAAAGCTTATAATAAGAGGGCTACGAGTATGAACAATTTAGTTACTCAACAACTATACCATAGGAAATATACATATCATACTTGTCCATAGATAGTTCTCAAAGTTACGATTCATAAAACTCCATGGGATATAACACATTGGATTCTTCTTAGTTAAGTATAAGCTATGAGCATCATAAATGGGTATCATTATAATACAGTGTAAATTGTTGTTGTAACCATAAGGATTGCTGACCTTTTGGAATTGGGAACCGCCTTGATTTCCCAGAACATGATAATTGGCTAGGATAAAAGTCTATATTACCTAACCTTTAAATCACATAAACTTTTTTTGTAAAGGTAGATCATTGGTACTGACTAATTGAATCTAATAATCGTATAACACAAGCAAGAACACAAAGATATTAGGTGAGAATTTATTTAAGATGGTTAGAGATGGTCAACAGAAAACCCTGGACCCAGGTTTTGTGCTACTTTGCACTCGTCAGCAAGGTGTAATCTGTAATCTTGAGGGAAGTGGTGCTCCCTGACGGATTAGATCCTGTGTCACCCAGCTTCACAGTTAGAGACGTTACTACTGAGCTATCCGGGCCGCGACCGGCCTTTTGTAGGACTGAGATGTAATCATAATTGATTGATCACTGGGTGGTGATCAATGTCATGTGTATCAAGTCCTTCTTAGTGCAGATCGAATGCTATCAATCAAGTTGCAATATGGCGACTAATCGAGGTGACTCGACACTGCGTGCACTATGTTGAGATATTTGTTGGGAATTTATTTAAACGGTTCAATCTGAAAACGTGACACGATTGTGTCTCAACTTAATTTTCTACATTGCCAATCAGAACATTGATAGGGGAAATTAATAAGATGAGAAGTTAAATGTAATGAGAAATAATATGATTTATATAGAGGACTAAATCTGAGAAAAAAAAGCATGAAATGGCATAAAGAAGACTGAAGAATTCAAAGTTAGGAATGGTGTTGAAGGCAACATTTAAGAGAACATAAAGTATGAATCCTAGGTTATTAAAGAGTATCTTCAGGGAAACCTCAATCTTGATTTCAAGCTGGTTGGAACTTATGAACAAAATGCACCTTTAATAATAATGGAACTGATGTTCCCGAATGGAAGTTACACCCACACCAACCAGCTTCACAGTCTAATACGTTACTATTCAATTATTCAAACAAATGAGAGGACTAATTACCACAAGATTTCAGGTATGAATAACTGATGAGCACAGACGCACACGAAACCTATTCTCAGAGTTTCTTGCTGACATTTCAACGTAGCGTAATTAATGTCAAGTTACTTATACTAGTGACCACATTACAATTGGATCAATAGAATCAGATCCGTTCTAAATGACTAGACAAACATAAGATTGGTTACCACTCACAGATCAGTCAATTTTAAAGAATGAATACAGTTAAGTCTACGCAACTGATTTTGATTTTTGTCTTTCATTATCTTCAAGTATAAATAAATATCTTCTGTGACTTGAAAAAGAAACTTAACCAATCATGGTTTTTCATTAGAATCTAAATAATTCATTTCGAAGTTAATCATTCATGTATTCTGGTTACATTGTATGATTATAGATCAGAAGGGATTTTGTGGAGAACTTAGTATTTTCATAGTTGAAATCCTGAGTCAATTGAAGCTAGACCACCATGGAAAACCTGGAAGCACTCGACGGCCATTTCGTTCTATTATGAGACTCCTCAGTGGCAGTGCGCATCCACGATCCCGCACTCTCGAGATTCGCGAGATTCATATGCTCACTAGTGACTGACTTCAAGAGATATTTCTTTGAGTTCTAATGGGAAGCAGTGACCAGTGGAGTACAACCAGATCTGTTGTGAGATAACAACTCACTGAAGACAATTGGTGAATGGTTGCTCAAACTTCGTGGATTAGTTGAAGTTAGACATTAACACCATCGGATGCCAGCCGACTCAATGGTCTATCGGTTAAGTGCTCTAGTGAGAGACTGATAGATCCTGGGTTGGAATCTCGCGAGTGCGGGATCGTGGATGTGCACTGTTGAGGAGTCCCATAATAGGACGAAACGGTCATCTAGTGCTTCCAGGTTTTCCATGATGGTCTAGCTTCAATTGACTCATGATTTCAACTTTGAAAAAACATTGTATGATTGTCAAACTTGATCACAAACTGAATGAAGTTAGGAATGTGAATCTTTAGATTTTGACTAAGTGAAAAACCTGAAGGGATTGAATTTAGCCCCTTGTGTAAAATGTGCGCATACTCTGTTGAAGAGGTTTCTTGAAATTCGTACAAAACGGCTATTCACAAATACTTTATTGTGTGCGAAGATAAAATTATTGGTAACTTCCAAGAATTTGTAGTGACCTCTTTTTCTCGACGAAAACGCGATTGGTATAATGGAAACAATTATTATTATATCCAATTGTACCAGTGATTATTTTACTATACTCGTTGTCGTTTAACCGTATCAAAATCACTTTTCGTTCAGTCGCCCGCTTTGTCCGTTCGAACTTTCTTACACTCTGTCCTTATTGCATGTACTCGTTGGCACGTCTCGGTATTCTTTCGATACCACGAAATCGCCAATAAATATACTTTATCTGAACTAATTAAAACCTTCTGGTTTGCGAGTTATCAAAGGAACCAAGTCGTTTTCGGGCGCGTAATCCTATTGTAGTGATGATCGAGACTCAACGCCATCTACAAATTATTTATGGACTATTATTAGATACATTCTTATTAGATAGTTATTAAGTAACTAGACTATACATATATTCGTATCCATCTATTACAAGCTTTCATTTGGCCTATTAACTACTATTATACGACTTATCATTCTTAATTTATTCCCAATTTATAAGTCGGAGTCTTCCATACTCACAGCTAATTTTGACTTGATATTGTATGATTATTATCTTCCATTTTATCACAATTGATTAGTCACTGGGTGGTGATCAATGTCATGTGTGTCAAGTCCTTCTTAGTGTAGATTGAATTCTATCGATCAAGTTGCGATGTGGCCACTAGTCTAGGTGACTCAACACTGCGTGTACTATGTTGAAATAAGATGGCGGTCTAGTCTGTTTGCATATAAACTATGTATATCTGAAACATATATTATTCATACAGTGGAGGCAAATATTATGTTCTGAAGTCAACATTCAGGACTGGGGGAAAAGTAACTATATCGAGGAATAATACGAATCTACAGTTAACTCAAGGTTTCTAGAATTGATCAACGTGTCATTGGTTGTTATATCCCCCGGTGAATTACGAATGTTAACTTTTAGGTCTATTTATGGATCACTGTAATATGCCTATTTCCTATTGTACAATTGTTACGTAACTAAACTATTAATATTCGTGTTTCTCTTATCATGAGCTTTATTTTGACCTTTGACTTATTATCATACGATTCTTGAGTTATAATCAGTTTATTGATTACTTTGGTTTGTATAAAAACCCAGTATATTTGTAAATAATGATTGATACCACTGAACCTATTATCGGTGTTTTGGACTTAACTGGTTGGGCTAGGCAGATCACAGGACCGGTTAGCACTCTAGTCTGCTCGTACGGGTTTCATGTCACTGTTCCAACCGATAATTCGCTGCTCTCTAATTGGCGGTTCTATCGCGTCACACATCAACTAGTCATCCACTCGGCCACAAGCATAACATTGGTTTAGTACAGGGCTAAGGTCCCTAAAAAAATGGACATTTACAGGTTGGATTCCAATAACAAATCATATAAACTATATAAAACAATCAATACAGTCTCCACTTACCGCTACTTTCATGTCCACCGATAAATATAAAATTATTTTTTCTTGGATCATTTTTTCTTTGAAATTTATCTTCCGGTTGACTAATCCATCGACCAATTATGATACCAAATAGAAAAATTATAATTATTCCATTGAATTTTTTAATATTTCGACAATAAATTGATTTAGTATTGAAACCTATTGTGTAAAGTTCAATGGAAGATAGGAAAACTCAAACAAGTCATAAATAATAATCATATGAAGTGAATTCAAACTTCATCCTAGTGCATAAGCAAGTGACTATCAGAAGTCAGTAGCTAAGTAGATAACGTGATGACGTTTGAAGCGAAAGATACTAAGTTTGAATCTCAGAGTGAACATCAACTCTGAGATGCAGGTACATCCAGTTGACGAGTTTCAAATAGGACGAAACGTGCATCATTGATTTCACTGCTAGACACTATCCATCTTTGCTTATAATGCTTGTAAATTAAGATTATATTGAAGCAGTACACACAGTATGCACATATGCCAATAAGAGACTGATCAATTCCAGTCCTAAACATCAGTGTGCTCATGGTGTTCTCTTTGACTTCGATACAGGTATATAAGCGATTAGTAGAGCACGAATAAGACAGTTCTGGGAATTACTAGCTTACATACTGAAAGTGATTATTTCTGATTATCTCATGAATACAAGTGACAATTCAAATAATTCACAAATTATAACTCTACTCTATTTACCTATGTTTAAACAGACAACCCCTAAGTATGGTTGTACCAAAAAGCTTGGAATACAGGTCTGTGAACCATGAATATAGTACATGTGTCAAGCATTTCATAATGAACTTGCAAAAGATGACCTCAATAGTGAAATACAGTCTACTGTTATTAATCACTAATAATCAAAACTGTACTGTAAACACCTAGATTTTCATAAAGGTTACTCCAACACAACAAATAATAATATGGAGAAGTTAACAGAGTTACCCAGTTAGTATTATCCGTATCAAAAATAATGGCAGGATAGCATAACAACTCATGTACTGGGAAAAAAACACATTAAGATGATGGTTGGAGGTGGTCAACAGGAAACCCTGGACCCGGGTTTTGTGCTACTTAGCACTCATCAGCAAGGTGTAGGTGTAATCTTGAGGGAACTCGTGCTCCCTGTTGACCACCCCCAACCACCATCTTACCTCAAGATAGTGCACGCAGTGTCGAGCCACCTAGACTAGTGGCCACATTGCAACTTGATCGATAGTATTCGATCAGCACTAAGAAGAACTTGACACACATGACATTGATCACCACCCAGTAATCAATCAATTGTGAAAAAAACATTAAAATAAGTAACAATCCCTTTATTTTTTCTTACTCATTAAAACTTTTGAAATGTAGTGTTTCATTAGAGTAGGGAGGTTTGAGGGGATTGTTGAATTTTATAGTTTGGGTTACAAAATGATCCTAGACAATCATTAAAAATGAAGACTTAATAATCTATTAGTTACACGTTCTTCGAGATATCTGGAGACCCTGAATTTGATTTTTTTATGTGATGGTGAATGAGTACTCTTTAGGAGTACCATACTATGATGAAATGCATTTCCAATGCTTAATCGTTTTCTTTGGTTTTCTAAGTGAAGTCATTTCATGATGTAAGTTATATATGATAGGACTTTATCTAATAAATGTAGACGGATGATAACTTAAACTCGAAGAGAATTAGATTATCTGAGGAATTGAAATCAGTAACCTCTGGGTTTCCTCTCTAATGTTTACGTGATCTATGAAAATTGTACAATTTTGGATAGCGCTTTGTTGATACTACACTTAACCTAACCCTTCATTAGTGGTCAAATCTAAGGCGATTGTTTACGATTTCATCACCGTTAGACTTTGTATATAAGGTAGTCGAGCATAGGAAGTTGTAACAGTAACTGTAACAATACCCGTACTTCGACTGTAATAAACTTACTGTCATAAGTTATTTATATATGGCAATTTATAGACGTTAAGGTGGTCGTTGATAGTCATCACAAAAACCTATTTTATCTAGGTTTTGTACGATCTGTTATCTATCAGTGTAAGAATATTTTGAATCTTGGGAAAAATTATACATTAACACCGTTGGATGCCGGCTCAGTGTTCTATCGATCAAGTGCTCTGGCGCGAGAGCGGTAGGTCCTGGATTCGAGACTTGCGAGTGTGGGATCGTGGATGGACACAGCTGAGGAGTCCCATTATAGGACGAAGCAGCCATCCAGTGTTTCTAGATTTTCCATGGTGGTCTAGCTTCAATTAAATCATGATTTCAACTATGAAAATACTGAATTTTCCACAAAACCCCTTCTGATCTAAAAATTATACATCATGTGGGATTCGAAAGCATGTAATCCAGTATCATAATTAGAAACATCAATGTAGAACTATCCTGGTCACTAATACTGGGGTTTTTTCTGTTGCAATGTAATATTCATATTGATTGACTGATAAATATTGATGACTGTCATGTTTATGTGATCTTTAGCGCTGGTCAGGATAACAATATAATTTACAGATCAGAGAACACCTTCATGAATTTTATAAGTGATTGATCACTTAGTATAGATCAATGTTATTTATGTTTAATTTCCTAGTGATAATCGAATTCTGTCGATTGAATTGTAATACAGAGATAGTGCATAATATATCAGGTTATTTAGACTAATGACATCCAAATCTGATCACTAGAATTCGATCACAATTAAAGGATTAAATAAATATGATACTGGTTACTATTGAGTGATCAGTCCAATTGTAAATACATCTCAGTCCTATAGGAGGCCTCAATAACATCTCAAACTGAAGCTGGCGGACACGAAATCGGATCCGCTATCTTCCTCAAGATTACAAGTCTACCTTTCTGATAATTACCAAGTAGCACAAAACCTAGATTCAAGGTATTCTATCAACTACCCCCAGCCACCTGATATCATAAATCCATGCATTATAATGATATCTAGTATACCAACGATTACAGTTTAGATGAAAATAGCCTAATTAATATACCTTCATTAGAAAAGAAGGCCCAGGACAGAGTGGGTTGGAGAATGCTGGTCGGCGGCCTATGCTACATTGGGAGTAACAGGCGTAAGTAAGTATGTAATATACCTTCATAAATCTTATACACATAATAGATAAAAATATGAAAACCATTGTACTTACAATTAGACATCATTCCGCTGAGTTGATTTCAAGTTTTCTTTTACAGCATTTTCAATTCACTTCATTTAAATGGGGTTACACATCGGATGTAACGCTCAGTTCAACTCATATATATATACGTAGATACACCCACGTGAACATTCTTGATATTTTCGTATAAGCTTGTATATACTAATAATTTTCTTATCAGTAGTATGTTTTACCTAAAGATCATAACATATTCATTTAGTCATTGTTAAGGCTAATAATCAACACAAGTTGATCTCATGTACAGTCTTCTTGAGAATTGGAAGTCACTGAATGTTTACTTTGTCCTAGGATGAAACGTTCCAGTAGAAAGTACTCATGATATTAATCAAGATTAACAGTTAAGTAAACATTCTACCGTATAGATGGTTAGAAGATCTTTTCTAATCAATTTGAAGCATTCACTCATATGTACACACACACACTCATGTATAAGTTTTATCATAGAATAAATTACATTGTTGACACAGATTCAATCATTTGACAGTTTACCATAAAATGAATAATAGAAGCTTATTTGAGTGATATATTCATAACAAACAGTTCAATTTATAATGATTAGAAACATTTATATAGATAACTACTACTACTACTACTACTACTACTACTACTACTACTACTACTACTACTAATAATAATAATAATAATAATAATAATAATAATAATAATAATAGTATGGTTGCCATGACAATTCATGATAATTAGAAGTATTCGAATTATTGTATTCAGTCAGCTACAACGTAAGACTAGGCACATTTACGCATCGGTTCAAATTGCCATACCTCATTAGCACAACAAGATGAACACCAAATTCATAGAAGTAATTAATTTATTGGTGGTAATATATAAAAGATAGGTTGTATATAAGGATATAGTATAGGAAAGAAGACAGATATGAAGTAATTTTAATCTCAAGGTTTAAGGGAAGATAAAGAGTGTATACAACTGCGCCATGGTAATCGATTCTGAGCCATATCACCTAGAGTGTCCAACCATTGGTTACGATAGTCACGCGGACCCCAACCAAGTAGTCTGCATTTGCCAACAATATTACAATACAATTATTGTATTAACTAGGAATCCCTGAAATAGTATAATAGTGTAATAGATAGGTAGAACTAAATGAGCATAAATGAATGCGTTATATTTGAAAATTATAATCAGCGAGAAATCAAGCACAAAGTACAGATTTTACAACCGCCATAGCTTGAATAAGGATCCGGATTACTGTAATCTGTTGTGTCTTCTTCTTAACTTTACCATATGTCTTTCACGCTGTATATAGTTTCTGTATGATCTAGAATGTAATCATTAGAATTAGAATTACCAACGGAAATCGGAACGGATTAACCTAAGTCGTTGTTATGTAGTCGGTTATTGTGACTGGCTTGCATATGAGCCGTAGATTTATCAACCATTTTTAGTAGAACTTTCGTAGATTATAGAAAATCAGTTCTTGGATTAGGGTGCTATTTTTTAAGCAATTTCATAATTGTTTCTTTTGCGAACGGCTTGGTAATTCTGCACTGAAAGATTATCTATTCTCCTCTTCGCGTCTTTGAATTTTACCAATCCTCCTTGTTCATCGATGACGCTTCCGAGGTACATAAAAGATCCCACCTCTTCCAAAGTTTCTTCATCAAGTGCAATTGGGTCGGTGTTCTCTAGGTTGTATTTGAGAATCTTGCTTTTCCTTTGTATATGTTGACGCCTACTGATGTAGAGGCTAAACAGTCCATCTCCAAGTAAAACTACTATCATGAATTAAGTAGAATTGTTTACTTGTTTATATTTCTGAAAAATATTCTTGTAATTTAAACATAAAAATGAACCTCATTACACTTTGTTTCCGTTTATTCTCAGTAAATCTTTGACCTTCCCTCTCATTTTTTTAGCCTACATTTTGTACATTGAATATACATATTCCGATTATTTATTCAAACACATAAATATTGGTGCAAAGGAGCACCAGATATATATGTGCCACACAAATCTCATTTGAGTTGTGTGAGGGCTGTGATACTGCTCAGGTGTCAAAACTGAAGAAGGTGGTTTTCTTAGGAGGCCACACCCGGAGACTTTGACCGAAAGATCTGATTCACAAGGCAGTGGAGCATTGTGAGGAGATGCAGTCCCATGGTAGCCGGTGATCAACGATTGATTCATACGCCATTTGTTCCCTCAGGATACTGGAGCCAGCCCATGTGCACCATTGGTTTCCAATCAGGGTTTTCCAACTCCCGTAGGTGGACTCGCCGTGTCCACCAACCCGTTTAAAGCCCCGGACATTCGCTTTTCGTCCTCTCAATTTTGTAAACAACACCCCGTCTGCGAGGTAGTGAGTAGGACTTACCTGACAGAGGCTATATATTCGCTGGCCGTGTGAGAGCATTTCGAGAGGGAGGGCGCCCCCCACACACACTCTCCGTTGTACCAGGGCATTTCGACGCCATATTCTGGTATTTTATCTACTTTCTTTAATGATTATTATAACCAATCAATCTTTTTATGAGTCATTTTAACTTATTAATCATAATAATAATTAATTTCAATAAGTTTATGGATTTGTATTTAAAATATCTGTTTTGTTTATACTACTGAAATTGTCTAGATTGTGTAAACATAAACAACGGCATATATTATTTTATATACATATATAAATGTTTTCTATACTTGTATAACTTTATTTACAAAAAACTGAACCTATTCACCTATTTCTTTTTTCATGTGAATTATTTTTACTACATAATTAAGCTGTAGTGAATCAGTGAATCAGAGAAGCAAATGACGGTTTGATTAATTTTATTAACATAATTTAGCTACTTACATAAGAATAAGTAGTATATTGGTAATAATTAATAAAGGATAATGTCTGTGTTGAATTAACTGGTTTATCATAAACTTTGGAATGATATAAATAAATTGATTATAGGCATAGCCATATAGATCAAAAAGTTAGACAAATGTCGAGTTGGCAGAATTTACAATATGAGCTATGTAAATAAATAGTATAACACACACCTTTACTTACTTTTGTTACTCCGAGCGAAGCACAGACCGCCGACCAAGATTCTCCTTGTAAGTCTATCCTTTCCAGTTGCTTCCAATTCTTATTCGTTCTTTTGATGCTTAGCTTCGATTACTGAAGTAGCGTGTTCTTTGGTCTTCTTCTGTCCCTTTTCCCTTCAGAATTCCAATTTAGCGATTGTGTCATGATTCAGTTTAATGATTTCCATAATGCATGTCCCATCCACCTCTGACGTCTTTTCCTAATTTCCTCTTCAGCTAGAAGTTGATTAGTTCTTTGTCATGGTAGGTTGTTACTGATAGTATCCAGCCAACGGATATTGAGTATTTTGGGACACTACACTCTTATTTACTTAGGCCTGTTACCCTTCGTGGAGGAGCATAGGCTGCACACCAGCATTCTCCATTCAACCCTGTCCTAGGCAATCCTATCCAGTTATTTCCAGTTAACATTCATTCTTTTCATATCTGCTTCTATTTCTCAGCGTAATGTGTTCTTTGGCCTTCCACTTTTTCCACTTCCCTTCAGGAGTTTAAGCTAGGGCTTGCCTGGTTATACAGTTTGGTGATTTCCTCAGTATATGTCCTATCTAGTTCCAACTTCTTTTCCTAATTTCCTCTTCAGCTGGGAGCTATTTTGTCCTCTCGCACAGAAGGCTGTTTCTGATGGCATCCGACTAGTGAATGTTGAGTATTTTGAGTAGACAACAAAACACAGGTTTACTAACTTTTTATTAAACGTATTATGAGAAAAAAGTGAGAAAACTAAGAATAGATAGCAAGCTTTATGACAAAATATGAATTATTAAATTACTTACTTACTCATGTTATCCCCAATGGAGTATAGGCCACCCACCAGCATTCCACAACCCACTCTGTCCTGGGCATACCTTTCTAGTTCTATCCTATTCTTGTTCATTCTTCTCATGTCTATCTCCGTTACTCGGCGTAATGTGTTCTTTGGTCTTCCTCTTCTCCTTTGGCCTTCAGGATTCCATGTGGGGGCTTGTCTTGTGACGCAATTGGGTGATTTCCTCAAAGTGTACCCAATCCACTTCCAGCGATTCTTCCTGATTTCTTCTTCTATTGGAATCTGGTTTGTTCTCTCTCACAGTAGCTTGTTGCTGATAGTGTCTGGTCAGTGGATCCGAAGTATTTTGCGTAGACAACTGTTAATAAACGCTTGTATCTTCTGGATGATGACTTTCGTAGTTTTCCACGTCCCCGCCCCATTCAGTAGAACTGTCTTGACATTTGTATTGAAAATTCTGATCTTAGTGTTAGTTGACAGGCAGTTGTTTTGAGTTCCAGATGTTCTTCAATTGTAGATATGCTGCTTTTGCTTTGCCAATTCGAGCCTTCACATCTGCATCAGATCCACCGTGTTCATCAGTGATGTTGCCCAGATATGTAAAAACTTTTTTATCTTCCAAAGCTTCTCCGTGAAGTGTGATATGATTAATGCATGTTGTGTTGTATCGGAGAATCTTGCTTTTCCCTTTGTGTACGTTAAGACTTACTGCTGCTGAGGGTGTAGCATATATATATATATATATATATATATATATATATATATATATTTCGCTTCCATATGGCCTTCCGATAGCATGAGATTTGCACAAAAGTGCTTGGCCTATAATGATAACTGTATGGTCGACGTTGAAGAATTTTGAAAATTTAATATTCTACCCGAGTTTAATCCAATACCCCTACTCACCTTAGTAGTTGATCCTTAGAAAGGTGTTATAGTTTTTCTATGATTATCCATGTAATTTCACAAGTTATGATCATCAGTTGCAATAAACTTTCTAGGTCTCATTTTGCTAAGGTGATCACAGGAATAGCTCACTTTTTATTAACAATGTTAGAGTTTACCTAGTAACGGTAACAAAGAATTGCTTCTTTTCAAATCAAATTTTTCGCATAACCTTGTACGGCTAGTGAAATGTCACTGAGACC